TGAGAGCTGTAACTGTCTTCTTTCCAGTCAAATAGATGGTGATGTAATTTTAAACCCTTATAATAAAAGAAGCTGAACTCACTATTTTTTTCTACTGAAAGTCGACCCATTTTTCCACAAATCTGGGCTGTAAACTATAAACAGATGGCATCTCTTCAGTGATCTGCTCTGTAAACATTATTTTTATAAAAAAATACAAAGAGCGTCTGAGATTTTTGTCTTTCAGCAGTAAACTGTAAGCATAGAGCAATATGTGTATCATAAAACACATTTTCTGGGAACTTTTACTAAATAAATAAAATAAAAATATACATTTATTTCATGCAGTTACTGAATAATTTGCTTTACGATTTGGTCATGTAAATTCAGATGGACAAACCGAAATATACCCTGGTCAATAAGAGGTTAAACTCTTTCTGCCAATAGTTTTAAAAAGGATATTATTTAAGAGCATCCTGGCTACACAAATTCATTTCCAAAAGCTTTACACTTAATATTTAATTATTTTCTTTTTGTGACTTTGGGAGGTTTTTTAATGATTATTATACTTATTTTAACAAGAGCCCACTGTCTATGAGACATATTCTCAGCTATATCACCTGGTAATGCACCAAAATGGAAATTCTTGGCCAAAACTAGAATTCAGAACACAATGGGCCAAAAACCAAAAAACGCAGTGCATTAAAGTATATGGGCTTCAAAAATGTTGAGTTTTTTATTTTTAATTATTCTGTTCAGAAAAAATAACATGACTGCTAAATAAACATTGCTCGGGTCAGGGGGAGGAGAACTGTGAGAGAGAGTGAAGGAGACAGTATTATCTTAGAGAACTGAAGAGCAGAGGTTAAACTGAGGGAGGCAGCAGGTCAGACCATCCATTTTTATATACATTTACAAGACAGTACTTAGTTACACAGGGAAAAATACATCGCTTGCACTCAAAGAAGAAAAAAATTAAGCCTGTGAATACAAAAGTAAATGAAATATGTATTATGAATGTTGTTATTTTTTAGAGTCAGTGAGTTTACATGCATTCAATAATCCAATCATAAGAATAATCGGATTTCTGCAGTAATCCGATTATTCAAATGATCATGTAAACAACATATTCTGATCTAGAAATCCGATTAAGAAATCTGATTAAAAGGCTGTATTTTAGCTCAGTAGTCAGATTTCTCAGTGCATGTAAACTCTTACTCTGATTTCTTTTGGATTTCTCAGTCTGTGCATGCGCGAGATCAGACTGCGGTACTGGAAATAAGCAGGCAGCGTCGCCGCGAGACGCAGCAAAACACTTTGGGGCAGCACAGAAACCAAACATGAAATAAAAGACTTAAATATTCATCTTCTAGATGATGTATGTTCATATTTTCAGGTAAAGTAGTGCGATGTTTAAAAAAACAGCCCAGCCTAAAGTTACGTTTATGTCACGTCTTCTTCTGTGAGTTTATTGGCTGGTTGTAAAGCAGAAATCCGATTACTGCCTGACTCATGTAGACCTGGAGTTTCCCCATTATCTGATTACTTATCTGATAGTTATTGGACTATAAAGTGCATGCAAACACATTCAGTGTCAGTGGCTTTTTTCTCTTTTTTTTTGGCAGCCAAAATCTCTGTGTCCTTGATATCGTTCTCCAGAAATAACAAACATAACATAAGCACTACAGCTTGAGTGTGGAAGCACAGCTTAGTGGTATAATGGTATGAATTTTTCCCATTTTACTCAGCTGCTACTCTGGTGGCCAGAAATGATGGGTGGAGTGGTGCAACAGGGGGTCTTGCACCTCCAAATCCATCCAAAAAATTTTTTTCTGAATTTTCCCCCAACTGTATCCCCAATTTAGTCATATCCCCCAATCTTTTCGACCTGCTGCTCACGCCACATCACTGGACAGTGGAACTCGCTCGGAGGAAAGTGGCAAGTGTTAAGTGATGGGGGGAGACGGGGGGCTATCCTACCCACCCAGAGAGCGAGGACAATTATGCTCTCTTGGACTCCCGGCCATGGACGGCTGTAGCATCACCAGGGATCGAATGAACAATCTCCTGACGACAGGGCCAACAATTAGACAGAGCCAATGCAGTGGTATCTCTTTAACCAACCTTTTTTTAATTCATTTTTTTCAATATAATATGCTCTGTGAATCGAATACATTTAGATTTCATGCTATAAAATGTGTGATAATGGCACATATTTTACACTTACAACCTTTTTTGATGCTCTCACTCAAATCTACTTGCACTGGAACATTGCTGTTAATACTGTGTTCTACTCAAGTACTGTATATTTCTACCTCAGTAACTGCTGAGCTCACGTATGTTATCTGACTGCGTATACCTACATATCATAGCATGTTAAATATCTCTGCACCTTATTCCACTACCTCATGCTCAGAAATGAGTGCTGTGTCGGTGCTGCACTGTCCTGTCTGTTTACTGTCTCTGATGTCTGATTTATTTATCGTACTTATTGTATTGTTTCTAGTTTATTGTTTGCACACTTACGTTTGATGGAATGACAATAAAAGCCTTTTGACTTGACTTGAAAGGTTTTTATAGTTTTATTTAACACAATCCATTATATCCCAACAAGTGATGACCACGAATGGTAAAAGTAGCGCCCCGCTGCTCAGCTCTCTGAACTCTCAGTTCGGTTAGCCTACCTTGGACGGTTAATTAGCCAAGCTCTTTGAAAAGGCGAGCAGCGAGAGCAAGCTTGAGCTAGAACAGGCAAAACAATACTCGCATTTATCTCCCTTTTGAGAACACTTCAGTTTCCCAGTCTGTTACAAGTTACCACTTTAGTTGTAACGCTTTACATTTGTGCTGATTATGATAATAAAAATAGGGACCTTTAACTCAAAGAGACCGCATTAGTGCTCCACTAACTGCAGGTGTGAGAAGGAAGACTAAGGGATTAGCATTCATAAATCCTCTGAACCAGATCAACACATCCCTGGAAATGTTCTCTGATCGCTGATCTGAGGTGAGGGACGAAAGTAATTGCTGCTTTTGATGATGAGAGGAAGAAGGCCAGGGCAGTCGGAGCAGAATACATTTTTAATGAAGCTTTAAACTGTCAGCAACCACTGAATATTGCAGTGGAAGCTGTGGGAGTCCTGCGTGGCTCCTGCACACAGTTCATTGTTCTGTCTCCGCTTCGCCGCAGTATTGACCTGCCTTATGTCAGAGACCATATTTGCATTGAGATTAGTAAATGTTGAAAACTTGGGGGGCCGTATCATAAAGGCTCACCAAAGTTTATGCATGCTTTACATGATTAACTCTCAGACGGCAAGGCAGGTTTATTTATATAGCACCTTTAAACACTGCTGTCGTTTAAAGTGCTTTACAAATCAGAAAATTCAGAGTCAGAGTTGTTCAAAAAAGTAAACATAAATAGAAAAATATAATTAAAACAATACATTTAAAAAGAGAAAATCTTTAAATTAAAAATCAAATTAGAAATTAGATTTAGATTAGTTAATAAATTTAAAAATTAAAAGTTAGTTTACAATAAAAAAAAAACGGGCTAGAAACACTAAAACTGCGTTTTCAGGCTGGTTTAAAGTGCCCAGTGTCGGGGCTCTTCTAAAGCTCTCTGTCCACTGGGTCCATTTAAGACCAGCATAGTATCTGAACGCTGCTTCTCCATGTTTAGTCTTCATCTTCAGCAGGACTAACTGACCAGTTCCTAATGATCTGAGAGTTCTGCTCGGCTCATATCGCTGCAGCAGATCAGATAAATACGCTGCTCCTGCACCAATAAGACATTTACAGAGCAGTAACAGCTCCTTACAGTCTATTCTAGAACAGACGGGTAGCCAGTGTGAGGATTTAAGAATGGGGCGGGGCGGGGCGGGGTGGGGGGGGGGTGTCCTTCTTTTACTCCTAGGGAGACTCTGTTTTGGAGTCCAGTTAGGAGACCATTACAGTGATCAATCCTGCTAGAAATAAAGGCATGGATGAGTTTCTCCAGGTCTGCTTTAGTCTGAACATCTGTGATCTTGTTGATGTTCTTAAGGTGATACTTTGACACGACTGATAAAACTAAGATCAGAGCCCATCAGTACACCAAGGTTACGTACTAGTTCTTAAACTAAAACACTAAAAAGAAAATCTACAGCTATGATTTTGCCATCCATTCACATTACATAACTGTTTAGATACAAATGCATGACTGATTACATAGCTAGTTATGTAATGAATTACATTTCCATTTTTACATTACATTCACTATTAACAGCTATGAATCTACACTTCTGACTTTTGTGGTCTGTTCCTATTTTAAAAAATGACAGTAAAATATGAAGGATTTTTTTTTCTTTTTGCAAAACAAGACTAGCAAGAACACATTTTTTCATGAAATCCAATACATAATAAAACATCTCATACACAAAAATGACATTCATTTAAAGGTTCCAATCTGCACTTTTGATAGGAATTCTGTCTTCAAAGAACTATGAGAGAAAAATAATGAAACTATATATAAGAAGTGATGTATCACGGTAGAGGTGGATGATGTGGCAAAAATCCTGATATCACTATACTTTTAACACACGATAAGTATCACAATATTTAGTTTTTCTGAGGTTTGATTCAATGTTAATGAATCAATGTTAATGTTAACTTTAAATAAAGTTATTTAATGAATTTAAAATATTGAGAAAAAAAAAATAATAAACATAATTCATGGCCTGTGCAAAAGTTAAGGGACATTTTATATTTTATGTATTACTTTTTCCAATATGTTAAGCTCAAAGAAAGAGCATAAATTGTGCACTAAATGGATGGTTAATGAGAGTTGATTTGTTAACCAATGTGGCCAAGAAATTCCAGTACTTTAACCGGAAAGAGGTCATTTGACTGTTGTGTAAAATGACCAACCGCATACTTGTTTTCGTGTGATACGGTTAGCAATTGTCAACACAGTAAATGATCTGGTAATTGTAGAAATCACATAATAATTGTATTATTAGCCACAGGTGTCACTGTCGTACCTGGTTGAGTGCTGGAACGTCCTTGGTGCCAATGCATGGGGCCAAAGCAAGCACTGGCAGGTCCTGCCCTTCTGCCCGGCGAGCCTCCAGACAGTTCTGCCTCTGCCGTATCACTCCAGCCTTCGCGTCTGAATCATCTGGAACTCTGGATTAAGAGGGGGACACAGTAGTTATAGGCCCAATCCCATTTCACCCCTCGCCACTTTTTATTTGAGGGTCCCATTTCAGAGGGAAGATTTCAACCACTACCCTGTAACTCAGTTCCAAGGGGCAACACTCGAAAACAAGGGATAGGGGAAAAAATAAGAAATGGGACTGGGCCTTCAAAGCTGGGTTGAAGCCTAGTTTTGAAGGAAACTGAACTAACTGTTTTGACCATTAGTTCACCAGAGAACTTAAAATGTGTTTTCTGTCAGATGAGGTTATCGTGCTCTTGAGCGCACATATATATAAGTACAAAATGTGCACTATGATTAACACTCCAGTGTCCAATAGATGATGGATTTAGCCAAAATTCTCCCCTTTAAATGTAAACTGGGCAGCCTTAATCTTTTGTAATGTTTATATAAGCATCACCTTCATTAATCAAAAGGTTGATGTCATTTTCTCCATCCACACAGTTTTAACAAACCTATGTGCTTCCAACAAACTCTCTCTGTTCAAATCAGAGAAACCTTTCCAACTGAAAGTGAACAACCGAGCGAGAGCATAACTGAGCTGTCAAGCAGCTATTCCAGTGTTTTGTGTGTATATATTCCCTTGGTGCACATTCAGCCGTAAAGGGTTAGAGTCTCACCTTCTTTTAGACTTTGCTATATAAAAACTTCAGAAGTATTTAGTGAGACATGGACACAGATAGACAGGAGATAGTTTACAACGACAGGTGATAGTCTAACAACGACAGGAGATAGCCTAAAACGGTAGGAGATAGCCTACAACGACAGGTGACAGTCTAACAACGACAGGAGGTAGTCTAAAACGATAGGAGATAGTCTAAAATGACAGGAGATAGCCTACAACGACAGGTGACAGTCTAACAACGACAGGAGATAGTCTACAACGACAGGTGATAGTCTAAAACGAGAGGAGGTAGTCTAAAACAATAGGAGATAGTCTAAAACGACAGGAGATACCCTAAAACGAGAGGAGGTAGTCTAAAACGATAGGAGATAGTCTAAAACGACAGGAGGTAGTCTAAAACGACAGGAGATAGCCTAAAACGATAGGAGATAGTCTAAAACGACAGGAGATACCCTAAAACGAGAGGAGGTAGTCTAAAACGACAGGAGATAGCCTAAAACGATAGGAGATAGTCTAAAACGGTGGGAGGTAGTCTAAAACGACAGGAGATAGTCTAAAACGAGAGGAGGTAGTCTAAAACGACAGGAGGTAGTATAAAACGACAGGAGATAGTCTAAAACGACAGGAGATAGTCTAAAATGAGAGGAGGTAGTCTAAAACGATAGGAGGTAGTATAAAACGACAGGAGATAGTCTAAAACGATAGGAGATACCCTAAAACGACAGGAGATAGTCTAAAACGATAGGAGATAGTCTAAAACGATAGGAGATAGTCTAAAACGACAGGAGATAGTCTAAAATGAGAGGAGGTAGTCTAAAACGATAGGAGATAGTCTAAAACGACAGGAGATACCCTAAAACGATAGGAGGTAGTCTAAAACGATAGGAGATAGCCTAAAACGATAGGAGATACCCTAAAATGAGAGGAGGTAGTCTAAAACGATAGGAGATAGTCTAAAACGATAGGAGATACCCTAAAATGAGAGGAGATAGTCTAAAACGATAGGAGATAGTCTAAAACGATAGGAGATAGTCTACAACGATAGGAGATACAACAACAGGCAATAGTCTAAAATGTTTTTCTGCTCACACTGTTGTTTTTAATACTGTTTTAGTGACGTAGTAGATTGAAGTGCTGGACGAAGGACGTCAGTTAGTTGTGCTCAGGCCTGTACGATACTGAATACAATGTGAGGCTAACAAAGTTGCTGAATATCACGACAGCGAGTGTGTTCACATGCACTTCATAATCTGAAAACTGCAGAAAATCAAAGTTTAGTAGTCAGTAATCTGATCATCATGTTTACATGCTCTTGAGTAATCAGATAATGGGGAAACTCCAGGTTTTCATGAGTCACACAGTAATCAGATTTCTGCTTTGCAACCAGCCAATAAACTCACAGAAGAAGACGTGACGTGAACGTAATGTAAAAGCCTTTTTTATAACATCAGGTGACTTTCCCTGAAAATATAAACATACATCATCTAGAAGATGAAGAATATTTAAATCCTTTATTTTGTGTTTGGTTTCGCTTATTTCCAGTACCGTCATCTGTTCTTGCGCAAGCGCAGACTGAGAAATCTGAAAGAAATCAGAGTACGAGTTCATATGCACTGAGAAATCTGATTACTGAGCTAAAATCCAGCCTCTTTATCAGATTTATTAATCAGATTTCTAGATCTGAGTATGGTATTTACATGATGAATAAACAGATAACTGCATAACTCTGATTATGATCAGATTATTCCGTGCGTTCACATCGGATTTCTGCAGTAAACGCACTCAATGATAGAAAGACATTTTTTTGGATGTGTTAACAAGAATCTAACTAACCTTTCCTTTACGCAAATAGCAAAATACGGGATTACAAAAGCCCCAAACAGCTTCTTACATCAGAACTGCAAGCACATTATTTTGCAGAACTCCAGCAGCACTGCTGTGTCTGATCTACTCGTACCAGCACAACACACACTAACACACCACCACCACGTCAGTGTTACTGCAGTGCTGAGAATGACCCATCACCCAAATAGTACCTGCTCTGTGAGGGTCCATGGGGGTCCTGACCACTGAAGAACAGGGTAAAAGGGGGCTAACAAAGTATGCAGAGAAACAGATGGACTACAGTCTGTAACTGTAGAACTACAAAGTGCACCTATATAGTAAGTGGAGCTGATAAAATGGACAATGAGTGTAGAAACGAGGAGGTGGTCATGATGTTATGCCTGATCGGTGTATATTTATTTTTATATAGTCTAACAAGAAAGAATACATATTTTTGTTTACTTATTTATTTATTTATGCATAGTTTTTAAATGTTTTGTAATTGTCCGTTTAGAGGAATGGTTAAGTTACTCATCTCCTGTAGGAGATCAGGGTTTAATGCCAGTGCAGAGTAGCACTCGTTAGGCTTCTAACGGTTTGTGCTGTAATGTAATAACGTCTCTCTGGTGATGTGTGTATGAGGTCATTTGATCTGTTCTGTCATCGCCACTCTAATGATGTGTTTACTGCAGAAACTCCCATAATGGTAACAATATAAATATGATTTATTACAGCCCTAGCGCTTATTAAAATATCAGGACCACCCCTAGACAGTTCCCAGATAGGCTTCTTTAGTAGTTTTTAACCGTTAAATGCTAAAACATATTTCTGCAGTTTAATATCTTCTCTCCTCTGTGATCTCAGTGCTGTTACTGCATTAATCTGATAGGAAAAGAATAAACTACCAAACAAAAAATGTGTAGATTTTTATTTAGTGTCACAAACCACCTCTTTGAATAAGAAAACACATGAAGAGCAATACAAGCCACATATCAATAGCATTTTATTGTTACTCTGATTAAACGAAACAATAAAAAGCGCTTACTGATCCAAACTGCTCTATGAACGAGCTCCTGTGTTTGCTCGGAAAAAAATCATTCAACAATAAAATTGCACTTTTATACAGTGATAGAAAACATGGGAAGTTGATACGTTTCATTGTGGCTAACGAATGAATGAAACTACTCTAGCTGCAGATTTAAGCTGCTTCAAAATCTTCCTGTCATCACAGACAGTGAGACGCCGCCTGTCGTGTTTTTTGTTTCAAAATGTACTGGATGTTCAATTTAACACTCAATTTTAGCATCATACACATATTTTTAATGTTTTACTCTGTGTTCTCTGTGACTTTAAACATACCATTTAGGCTTAACCTGGGTTTGGGAAACTGTCCCCCAAAGTCCTTCCACCTTGACCATGTACAAAACACTCGCACTCGCAGAAATATATCTATCAGAGAGCCAAGCAATCAAACATTTTGGCACTTCAATGAATATTTGTAGTTAATCTGAGCTTTCCTCCAGCTCTGGGGCATAATGCAGTCCAGCGTTCATGCTGCCTGAGACAGTGAATTGCTGGTCATATTAAGATGTATGGAAATGTACAGTGCAATGTTGGCAGATCCATTCATCAGACCCAGCAGAACACGTAGCTTCAGTGGAGCAAGATGAAACGCCTTGTAAGTAATGGAGGAGCTGGCCAGGCCCACAGCCCTACAGACTCATTTACTCAGCAAAGGGATGGGGGTATACAATTACACACACACACACCCACACACACCCACACACACACACACACACACACACAAAGTCTTGGCGTGGTTTCTATCTTTGTGATAGAATGGGTTCAAGGCAACAGTGCTTGTGGAGTATCTGCCACACCGGGCAGAAAATCTCACCCTGGAGACCAATAAGGGCCGACAGATCAGCACTCTGGGTAAAAGAAGCCTCTTACAAAGAAAAGCCATTCATCACACAGAAAAATAAAGACATGTGAATAACCACACATAATCCTCCAGTGCCACTCAAGCACCGACACACACGCTGGTGCGTGCACACACACTCACTTGAGCTCCGGATAGACGTTGTCCAGATACCACTTGAAGGATTTGCACTTGAGACTCTTCCGCAGTTCTTGCCTGCCGCGAATGCTGATAAGAGAGGAGGAGAAAGAGCAGAATGAGAGAGCAACCTTTTCCATAATGGCCTCCTCTTATCATAACACACACAAAGATTCCCCCCCACCACCACACACACACTCAAAAAGGCTTCAGTGACTCACTCTCCGTAGGACTTGCCCCTGGCTGCCGGCCGTGCTGAGTAGTAGAAGAGTTTGAACTCATCCATCCACACTTCAGCAGTGCGCCTGGTGTTTCTGAAACCAACCACCACACAGTCCTCAAACCAGCCGTATCAACTAACGGTGCATGTCATGGACAAAAAATTAGGTTCAATGCCACATATTGCGATTGTTATAAGCCAGGTGATAAATTAAAAGCACACTCATGTGACACGGTTAACATGGCACTGCAATATTTTGACCAAAATGTTTTCAATAAATCAGATGATTCATCAAAACACAGAAACCCACAAGGAGCATCTGAGATGGGTAAATCTGATAATGCAAAGCACACAATAAAAACATCTTGTGATTTGTGTACTCATTTGCATATTGTAGCAGCCTGTAGTATAATGAATAATTATAAAACGGATAGTTCTGGTCCTAAACTCTGATTGGCTGAGCCGTGTTCAAATCTGTTATTGCGCCACGGCACAAAAAAACCCCTTGTGCTCTTAATGGAATAATCTTTGACTCTAAAGCTGCTCACATGCAGCACCGAGTGTACTGATGAAGTAAGAACCCTTTTTTTGCTTAAACTGAGGGGCTGGCAACTTATGTTCTTAACTAATAGGCTAAAAGATAGACAACATGCTAAACAACTCCATCATTAATATCACAGGCTTAATTTAAAGTACTTACAGTATAATTAACTGTAACTGCAGTATAAAAGTCTAAAAAATGTCACTTGAATGTTTTACACACTTCAAATGTTCATGTTTCAGTCAGAAGTCGCGCCAAACCCAGACTGAATCCCAAACGGCTCCGTACTCCCTAAATAGTGTTCTAGCTATGAAAGTTTAGAAATTCTAGGCTCCACAGCCAAACAGTGCATCATGTATCGAGTGTGGATTTGTCTGAGTCCCAAATGACTGTTTTTTAGCTGTATTTTGCTCTGTTGGGCTGCAGGATCCAGTATTTAAACTCCTATGTAGTGCACTATGTAGGGAGCAGGGAGCCGTTTGAGATTCAGCCCCAGTGTAAGAAGAAGGTGCCACTGGATTGGTGCTAAATAAGACTTGCGGTGGTGATTTGGTGACCAAAAAGTACTTATAAAGCAAACGTGTTTGTATTAAACAGTGCTGCGTTATTCAATGTCAATAGTTATACGACAAAAAGTAAAAAAAAAAAATGACCGCAGTGTACAGCAATGGGTGACCATCGTTCACCTCCACATTCAGCAGCCCATGGTTGCTTAGCAATGATATTGTACTCTTAAGGAACTACATTTGTAGGTGGAATATCTGTTGATGTTGATTATTAATAATAGTAACTTAAATTATTTTCTGAAAAAGCGCGTATTTAGTCATATTTCATGTTGGCTGCTATTTTATAAAAGCAATAAGCCACTTGAGGCCGTGTGTTACTGCGATTTCATCACAGGGACGGGAGCTTTAGGGAGTTTTTAAGCTATAAAACCCACTCGGCCTCTCGCGGCTTATTGCTTTAATAATGATTCTAGTGATTATAAAGGATGACACACACTAAATATATAGCTGGGGGGCAGGAGAAGGAATTGGGGGGGGACTCTTGGAAGCCACATTTCTGATTGTTAAAAACGTTCTCCAATGTTAGTTATAAGCGTAAGGTCATCATGGTCAAAGGCACTAAGTTCTTGCATGACTTTTATCCACCTTAAATAAATAAGAGACAAAACCATCCTTATATCATCACTGTGCTGTGCTGGTTCCTGTAGGCTGTTTATCTGGCTAATGAGTAGTTTTACTTGACCGTGATAAAGAAAGATAAAGAGTTCAATGCCATGAAAAAGCAACAAGAACATTGCTGTCTTCAGCCTTTCATCCTGGACTTCTACACTTAATGCTGTAAACTGCAGACTTCAGTTAATTCATTTTTATCTGTTGCAGGATAATGTCAGATGTTACAGTAACTAATGGCAGCCAGTTAAATGCACGGTCAGCAATTGAGTTTAAGAAAAAAAATCCTGAAAAAAAAGACAGAAAAAATGTTCACAGTATGTTCAATAATAATAATAATAATAATAATAATAATAATAATAATAATAATTATTATTATTATTATTATTATTATAGTAGCAGTTATTATTACTGTTATACCATACTGATTGATTGTAGTTAAACATTTCAAAGATATCTGGTCAATTTGTTGCTCTTTATTTATTTATTTACTCTTTTTTTCACACTACATTATAGAGCATGACTCTGCTGTATGACAGCAGTGATTCCTGATGTATTATTCAAGCTTCTGAGGTATCAGGAGGCCAAAGATGTTATGACTAATTAGAACTTGGCCAGATCTTTAAAAAGCTGAGTGTGAGGCAGATGGAGCTCAACTCCATCTTGATTTCTACAAACCAGTTAAACAGCAACCTGCTCACATTATCTTAAAGCAGTGCGACTGAAGACAGGGATAAAAACGTGATCTCTAAATAGTTCAAACTTAGCCCAGGGTAAAGTATCCCAAAATACGCACATAAATACCCCCATTTAACTATCTATGGACTCACTGTCACAACAAATAATACGAGAAGAACGTGTTTAGAGAATGTCAAGTTAGGCATATATTAACGTCCTTGGTAATTATTTATTAACCCTGCTGAATATTAATTTACCCGCTTATAAGAGGAAACAGATGTGGACACGCCACACAGAACCCCACGGATTCAAAGAGCGTGCTGCACTTTTTCTTTAATATTTCATAGAGTTTGGTGCTGAGCTGCTTCCCCCAAGGGCAAAACATAATAAAGAAAACACATTCTACGCAGCACATTTCTCCTGGAGAGAAAAAAAGCCGGAGGATGATCTAAATGTATGGCAAAAAGTCAGCAAAGAGAAGCAGAAAACATTACATAGAGTTGGCAGCAAAAACAGTGAGGGAAAAAAAAAAGAGATTATGGACATATTTAGCATATTCAAAAGTACTGCGGTGTATTAGTATGCAGCTGTTTCTGTAAAAGCCAGATCTTAAAAAATAGGCCTTATAATGAGGTAAGATCAGAAGCTACAAAGCTAAGAAACACACTGTGTAGTGTCGTCCGCACTCATGAACTTACTCATGAATGTATGTAACACAAACACAAACTTGTAACAAATAAAACCGGCAAACAATAAGATGCACAAATTAAAACAGTGGCAAAAAAGGGGAAAAACACACTAAACATGTAAAAAATAGAACAAAAAAGTACAATAACTTGTTATATAATAATACGAGAGTGATGTAACAGTAACAATCCTGTAAAAGTAAGAAAAATAAAAGCTTGTTAAATTCTAAAGTGAAAAAATAAGTCTTTTCTGATAGAAGGAGCCTGGAGAATATTTACTGATGATGTGTTCCAGATTTTTGGTGCATAAAAACAAAAGTCTTTTAAGTTTCATATAAGGAATATGGAAAAAGTGGCCACTAGATCTTAGGCTACGTTCACATTGCCAGGCTGAAGTGACACGAATCCGATTTTTTGCCTTAATGTGATCTGATGTTTTCAGAGCTGTGTGGACACACAAATCTGATCTTTTCAAATCCGACCTGAGCCGCTTCAATACGTCTCCAATTCGTGGCTGTGTGACCTTAATGTGACGCTCAGATCGGAATTCGTGTTTTTTTTCCCACTGTGCGTGACCATCATTCAGCGTTACCATGGCAGCAGCGCCGAACAGAAGGTAAAGCCTATAAACGGTGGAAAAGCAGCTCATCTCACCTTTTTCTCCTTCGTCTCGCTCTAATAATGAAGCTGAGAGCTGATCAGAGTTAATTATCTTCTCAGCGAAGCTCGTTCTGCTCGTTAGTTTGTGCTGATGATGCTCGTGATTCATTCACGTGACGTTACTGAGTAGGATGTGAGCATGAGGGTCATTTCAGGATTGAAATTTCCCATTCCACCTTAAATGCTGCCTGAGGTGCCAGAATGTAACTGCTGCACCATTTAAGGTGGAACGGGAGAATTCAAACAAGAAGCTGGTGAACTTTTTAGTGTTTGTCAGTTTCTCGTTGCAGATTAAACGTATCAGGAAACCAGCTGGAGTGATTATAAACACAAATAAGTCCATTCGTCTCCAAATACTAGACGCTCATCTTAAATCTCTCTCTTTGCCGTTTCGTTAGCTACTAGCTAGGCGAGACTGTTGTCTGTGTTGCTATGGTGACCAGCAGTCTGCGCTGATCTTCAGGGTTAAAGGGTGAATTAGCAGTTCTACATTAACTCCAGAGTTTAAGACCATTTATTGTTAAACTGTGTTGAACGATCAGCAGAGCTTTATTTTACTGTAAAGGAGGATTATTTTATTTTTACCTACTAATCTGATTCTGCTGTGTAGCCACAACTGGGCGGTAAAAGAGCCGCATGCAGCTCCATGCATAACAGCCACCCTTGTAATGCATACGCTAAGAAGACACTTTGTTGTTTCATTCATAATAAATTCCTTTTTTCTTGAATCGTTAATGTACACTGTAAATCCTGATGTTCTTGTGAAACCTGATGTACAGTGACTGAAACACTGCAGGTTTAGGAAATCAAGTTGACCGCTGTTTTTCAGAAGCTGTGCAAAGTGCTGAGAATGCATGATGGTACAAATGTAAAATGCTTGTTTTCTTGAGTTCAACACAAGCTGAAAGATGCTTTCAGATGAATGAGAGATGAAAATTTTAAAAGTATGACAGCTACTCATACCACATTATCAACTACATAACCTTATACTGACTGGCCACTTTACTAACCTGTATACTGACTGTCCACTCTATTAGACACACCGACCTTGTTGGGACACCTTGTACATGTGTAGTTCTTTCTATGAATCTTTTTCAATGCAAAGTTTGCGTTAGTCATTCTCTAGTCCTTCATCTGTGGTCAGTTTCTGATTATCAGTTTATTTTTGGTTGGAGGTCTATCCTCTACCCAGTAATGACAATGAAGTGCCTAAAAAGCTCCAATAACATCACCATGTGGGCCACAAACACATCACTGTCACTGCTGTACTAAGAGTGTGTCACCACCCAAACAATATCTGGTCAGTGTCTTATTGTGGTGATTTATAATGATGGTGGCTGATAAACTGTGCAGCAACAGATGAGCTACAGTCAGTAGCTGTATATCTACAAATAGCACCTATCAGGTAGGTTTATTTGGCGACAATGAGTATAGGTCCAATGTAGATGTTCCTAATAAACTGACAACTCAGTGTGGAATGTAATAGTCACTCTATTGTTGTTCGGCATGTATAATGTGGCTCGATCACGTAAGTAAGAGATTAGCTGAAGGGGTCTTACTTGATGTAAGTGTTGGCATTGCCCTCTGGGAAGATGTAGGGGTGTTTCTTGCGGAAGACGTGGCCGACTCTGCTGCACGGGATGATCTCCAGACTTCCACCACACATCCACACTCTGAATGAGATCTCTGCAGGGGAGGTGCAAAGACCGGTAATGCACCAGCCTTAAGCCTTCACATTTAAAGCAACAGTCAGCATGTTTTTTTAGAGCTACATAACATAAAACTAACAGAGATGGTACCAATATCCAGATTCAGTACTGAACCAATACCAGCAGAAAATACTGGATCAGATTTTGGAGGGTAAAGAATGACTCTAAAATTCTGCAATGAATTAAAAATACCATAAAACTTCCTGTGGTATAATATAAGGTAAAGCTTAGTAAAGCTGGTCATGTGACAACTAACTTTAACATAAAACGTGTTGATTGCTGAGTAATAGTATTATACTAGATGTGATGTTAATAATAATAATAATAATAATAATAATAATAATAATAAGTAAATGTAATACGTAAATGTAATTCGTTGCTGTACTTAAGTAGTTTTTTCCTGTATCTGTATTTTACTGAAGTATTTCCATTTTGGACGACTTTTTACTTTCACTCCACTACATTTCAAAGTCAAATATCTCACTTTTTACTCCACTACATTATGAGAAATCTGTCGTTCCTTTTGGCTTATGAGTGTATAATAACAACATGACATGTCAAAACGAAGGAAGATATGACATCGATATCAACATCAGCCAACGTTTTCAGTTATCAGTCATTTTTAGATGCGAAGCACCTCATGAACCTGTCTTGTTTTGCTCAAGTGCTCAAGCAGCTTTTAGTGCTTCACAAGTTTAGTCTTCTAGCTAGGATTCCCCTCATTCACACAGTGCTACCGAGCTAGGAGGGTGAAGGCCAGCATGTCCATCCTTCGAGACATGTAAAGCTAATTACCACATCTTTTGAACTGCTGGTAAAGGAACACAACTGGACAGCCATCATGCTTGTAAGAGAATGCTGTTATAAGAGCTACTCTCGTAAACCTAAAAAGCCCAGTGTGGTCCAGTACATGTTGGCTGGCTACAGAAGGTACAAACCAAAAAAGGACATGAATTATCCTGCAATAATTATGATTCAAGACAATTTTTAAACTCACCAGGAACACAGATAAAGTCAGACTTCATGCTATGCAGTATTTAGTTTACTTTTGTCTTTGTATTCGTTGAGTGATGGATCGTAAAGAATGGGCAACTCAAACAGAGCTGTTATTGTTTTTCATCCATGTTGTCCAGACAGAACTATATACAGGGCTTGTACACTTTTTAAACAAAGGAATTCCATGATTTTTCCATAAAACATAAAATGAAATTTCCATGCCAAACATTTTGCACAGTGCTGGGCAATTATCTATACCAGTATACCATTTCCTGTTTTAGTGACATTTTTTGCAACATATTTGATAAATAAAAAACACAATTTTGTGCACTTTACTTGTGGTATGCAGTCCTTGATGGTTTACGTTTAACTCATTTGCTTGAAATCCATAAAAATACGGAAACTCAGGATGCATGAATTCATTAACTTTAAAAATGATAACTTTAATGTCACCTGATAACATATTGTGATACGTTTGAAAATACTATGATACAGAATTTTATCAGAAACCTCACAGCACTTATTTAACTTACAGACAGCTCTTTTAGGAGGAAAAAAGGCCTACATTATCTAGATACTAATTTAATGTACAAATATTATTAGCTAGTAAGTCAAAATGCAGTTTAACTGGACTGACTGAGTGAAATTAAAATTTGACCCATTTACAGATTTCTGCACCAGGTTTAACATTCAGACCTCAGAAAATGGGTCTGTCATTTTTCTCAGTACATTAATGTTCCATCATTTCAGAGCCTACATATTATGTTTTGACTCCTCTGTTATTCTTATATTCTTGTGCAAACATGTCCATCAGTTTTGTTTGCAAGAGTGGTTTAGTGTCTTGTCATAACACACAACGCATAACATGCAAGCACATCATGATTAGGCAGACATTGTTCCCCATTTTATTACGTTTAGCTCCACATGATTTTAAATCAACAAAAACAGGTTTCTGTAGCCAATGAAATGAGTTATCTAACTGAACTTTAATTTGTGAGGGATTATATTCACATGGTGTGGGGAGGTAATGTATTTATTAGGCTACTGAAGATTCTCAGTGATTTTAGTTCCCTCCAAATCCACAATGTCAGTGACATGATTTCCACAGTGTTTATGAGTGGGATATAATGTGAGTCGGTTCACAACGATGAGTACCCAGAATACAATGAGAGCACCTCAGCAGTTAACTCATCATTTCTGATTCATCATTCAGCTGCAGCATGTGATGTTTGTTTAGCCACCGCGTTCAAGACCGAATGCTGGTCATGCAGGTCCACTTACATTTGCCTTCTTAATTCATCTTCTCCAGTGTTTAAATGTTACACATTTACCAAAACACACACATCCTGAACACCTTAATAGGCCAAGATTCATATCAGATTAAATTAGATTAGATTCAACTTTGTCATTGCGCAGAGTACAAGTACAGAGCCTATGAAAAGCAGTAATATTAACAACACGTCAGTAAAGCTAGCTGTCACACAATCGGCGAACTCTCAGAAAGAGACGGACTTCATCTCCCAGACTCCTCTGGGAGATTACATTACTGATCAACTTCCCTCAGACTCTGACTCCGACATGGACTCCATTGCCCACAGTTCAATGGGGGCTCATGTGACTTCTGACGCTCACTCACGCTCCAATCAGCGCTCCAACTATCCCGAATACTAACTGGTATCACCTGTGTGTTGGGTCATATGACAGAGTAGTTTACTTCATAAGCCCGGGCTTTAGTTAGGACCAGTGCGAGGTATTGTTTCTTTGTAAACTACTGAGCGTTTGTATTCTGACTGCCATTATCCTGTATTTTGACCATTGCTTTGTTTATTCCGATTCTGCCTTTTTGCTTCGTCCCTTTTGTACTTTTGCCCATTCTGACTGATCTGTGTTTTGGAACCTTTTGCCCGTTTTTGTGACTTCGTCTTTTGCTCAGCCCTTTTCTAGTTTGATTGCCTGGTAATATTAAACGCCTTTGTCTTTTACATCCGCGAACGTCTGATTTCTGTTCACACGTCACACTAGCCCACATGCAGGAGATTCAATGATTTTTCCAGCGCTTATTGCTTTCCATGACTTTTCCAGGCTTGGAAAACCAAATTTCTATTTCATGACTTTTCCGAGATTCCGGCACATCCTTGTCATGCACAGACAATGCAAAGTTACTTTTGCCTGATTGGTCGATGCTGCACAGCCTCTGCATGTAATTTGCATTTGCAACTTTTTTTGAGTTGCCATGCTGCAAGCTATGCTCATGCTGCTCACTATCCCACAATACCTTATGCATTTTTTCGCAACTCCCCATTTAAAAACAGACCGAGAACTTCGGATGATAAATTTGCATGTCATGAACACGCAACCCATCCCTACTGATTTACAGGAGAAATAACAGGAGAGCACAACAAATGAAAGAACAGCCATCAAGCTATATTCAGACCATGCCAGGTAAAATATGCAACAGCAACTGAAGCAGCCCAGCTCCAGAAATTATACTGATTATTATTTACATATATTTGTAAAATACTTGATAAGCTAAACCATTAGACTGGATCAAAAGAGGTGCTTCTGTTAGCACATTAACACAGCACTGAGGGCACTGTCAGCTAAAATACATCAAATAATCTGCTGATAAGATGAGAAAACGTGGCTCTGTAATGTAAGTAACTTGTCCACACGCATGATTTACACCAGGCCTCCGGGACACGGGCTCACTCTCACAGCAACGCGAATTAGATCATACGGTTGAAATCTCCTGTCTAAATATGCCTCTGCCCTGCGCTCATCTGCAATTATGTGCACAGTGGCTCGTTTCAATTTGAATAAATGGCCCTCTGAACGGCTGGGTCTGATTCTGTTTTAAGTGTGCAGTTCTAATGCCAGTTACCGTTTTGAACCTCGTGTGGTTATAACTACTCAGTCCGTCATCATGAACGTAAATCATTCCACCACTTTCTGACTTCAATTAGCTTTTTTGTGGAGGATAAACACTTTTCAACATTTTAAACATCAGTTGAACTAACGGAGAGTTTGCTGTGCCTGAGAAAGCAGTTCTGTCTCACTGGCCTCCCTCTTAGCTATTAAACATGTCCCAACACTGCTGAGAGAGAAAGAGGAATAACTACTCTGGCCCCAAAAAAGTAAGCACAGATTAAGGACACTCCATTTCAGGGACACTATTTCAAAGTGTCTAAGTATAATGTATTGCTTGTGAAAGAATGTCCCAAGCTTGCTTTAGCCCACCTGTGGGTGAGCAAAGCTATTGAAGCTGATGTCCTACCCGGCTGGTACTCTGGTGGAGGGTAAAAGCTTCTGTTAGAAACTCACCGAAGTTCTCTCCTCCCCAGATGTCCATGGCTGTGTCATACTTTCCCAGATGGTTAAACCACGACTTGTCGATCACAAAGAGCCCCCCAGCAATAATGGGTGTCCTGAGGGATTCAAAGATAAACAATTATTAGTTCAATTAGGAGCAATATGATATTTAATCTTTTCAACTCCTTGAGACCACCGGTCTTTACAACTTTATAATAAAAGAAGCTGAACTCATAATTTTCTACTGAAAGTCGACCCATTTTTCCACAAATCTGGGCTGTAAACTATAAACAGATGGCGTCTCTTCAGTGATCTGCTCTGTAAACATTATTTTTATAAAATAATACAAAGAGCGTCTAAGATTTTTGACTTTCAGCGGTAAATTGTAAGCATAGAGCGATATGTGTAGATCATAAAACACATGTTCTGTTAATCTGAGGGGAACTTTCACAAAAAAAAAAAACAAATAAAATAAAAATGTACATTTATTTCATGCAGTTACTGAATAATTTGCCTTACGGTTTGGTCATGTAAATTCAAATGGACAAACAAAATATACCCTGGAGAATAAGAGGTAGCTGTTCTGATAAATTATGTTACTTTGCACCACAATATGCTTTTCTCAGCATTTTGAGGACACTGTCAGTACTTAAAGAACACTTATCAACAGCATACACCTAGCAACACCTTAGCAACCACCTGGGATAACCTAGCAATAGCCTGGCAACACTTTAGCGACCGCCTATGATGCCATAGCACTGGCCTACCACCATCTTAGCAACCACCTGGGATGACATGGTAACAGCCAGTGCTAATGATATAAGCCAGTCTATCTGAGATGTGTGAGATGATGCTAATGAGTGGGGTGTGAAGTTTCCATTACTTGTTAGCAATTTTGGCCAGTATAAAACTAAAGACGCACTTTGCACGACGTCTTGGCCGATCAACAACAATGGGGGTTCAGGTAAAATCATGCAAGACTGAGTTTTGCCAACATATTTTCAATTATTTCTGAAAAAGTAACTCTTTTTTGTATTTCGATGCAGGTTGAAACAATTTGATTTCTATCATAATTTACTTCTTTGTGAAACCTGCTTGAAATCTGTACTTTCAGGATCAGAGTCTTGCAGCCTTCAAATCAAATATTAATGACTCAGTGACAGAAGAGAGGCTATGTTTTGTAGCAGTGGACAAGCAGAGGCCAGTGAGATCATGCTGGAGTAAGACAATCCACTCTTATCATCCATAGAAAGTTTTACTGGCCTCCACTGTTCAAACAAAATACACTCAAAGAGCAACTCTACACTCTCTAAACCCTCGCTGTACTGTTACCAGCACCGTTTGCACTTTAATAAAGTAACTGTTCTCTCTTCATTATAGGGCACCATGTCCTCAGTCATTCATATTACTCAGATCACATCCTCTGAAAGATAATAAACCTCACTGAATGTAGTGCAAACTGTAACAGCTAATATTTCAAATGGCTTTGAAATTAAGGCAAGCTACAGTTTCTACCCACAGGCTGCCAGGCTTCTGAACAAGCTGTGAAGCTGTGGGTCCTTCCCCAACTACCATTCCACTCAGTCACTCTGTCAGCATTATTATTATTATTATTATTATTATTATTATTATTATTATTATTATTATTATTATTATTATTATATCATATCTCTGCTATGGACAATAACACTAACACTAAGTCACTTTAAATAACAATAACACCAAGTCACTTGAGTCACTTTAAAATGTATATTGTCTCTATATTTTGTGGGCCACTTGCCCAGCTACTGCCACCTGCCTTGGACTAGCTGCCCACCCGACACTGAAGTGGACTCCTAACTATTACTACTACTACTACTGTTAATATTAGTAGTATAATAATTTTGTAGGTAGTTTGACCAGAGGAGGATGGGTCCCCCCATGTGAGCCTTGGTTCCTCCCAAGGTTTCTTCCTCAGCTCTGAGGGAGTTTTTCCTGGCTTGCTCACCTGGAGGATTTACATTTCATGTTAAAACTTTGTCCTTAATGGATTTCTGTGAAGCTGCTTTGTGACATCAGCTGTAAAAAGCGCTATACAAATAAATTTGACTTGACTTGATATTTTGTGTATATTTACTCTATATTTTGTGTATATTTAATATTTCAGTTTGTTTTTCTTATATTTTACTTTTACTAATTTACTTTCTGTAGAGTGATTAGCTGAGCCTCACCACAAGCATTTCAATGCATATAAGTCCTGACTTGTTGTGCAAATGACAAACTTGAACTTTATGGTAGCATTTGTACCCAGGAAAACACTCCAAAACAGAAGCAGTACTGGGGGTGATTCGATACTAATCTAATGACTTTTTTCCTGTAACATTACATTACAGTTACCCTCTTAACTTTATGGTGTTGGTGTGTTTGTTACTCAGTGGTCTGGTGGTCCCACCACATTAGTGTTTGTTTAAATCAATAGAACCATAACAATTTATGTAAAAATGACGAGATTTTTAAAATATCATAAGTGGTCAGCGTAGGGTTCTCCTTTAGCAGCTGTAGCCAGTCAGCAGCCTGTCCATGCTGTCCACCCTCACACACACACACACACACACAGTAACAGCAGGCCATGTAGGAGGAGAACAGAGTGAAGGACACAGCACCTCCACACTTTTACTCCCTGCAGGTTCAGCCCAACACCACATGTGTAATATAAATGTGTGGGGGGTGAACAGAGTGAAGACACTGAAAATGGGTTATTTTATATGTTCTTCACAGAAAATGAGCAAAGTAGCATTAGCCAAGTTCAGAATTGTAACTAAGCATAGTGGCCATCTTGCTTGGAGCACAGATAGGAATAGTGACATACTTTCTAAATATTTTTTTTTACTAAATAATGTATTTAAAGAACTTCTGGTTGTTGTTTTTTGTATTTTCAAGGTAAAGATGTATAAGGGTTTTAATTAGTAAAGTAGAAGTAAAGTAATGACTAGTGAGATTAATTTTTCCAGAAATTTATTAAAGCAATTCTCTTACAATAAAGTCATCAATATTTGTTACTTTTTAAGATACTTTCGAATTCTTTTAAAGGGAAGTGGAAAGATTTATATTTATCATTAGTTTTTATTTTTAAATAAAAAAAAAAAATAAAATGCTGTCTCACATTTTCATGCCACTACCGAAATTCAAAGAGTTTTAGCCCATGGGTGGAGCCTCATTTTAGCCACACCCCTGCATTTCAGAGCAGGAAGTGAGTCTGCATCCCTGTCCCTCATGGCCACATGGTGAACAGTTGGATGTTTTAAAGTAAATGTGTCCCAAAGCCTGAAAATCAGTGTGTAACTTCAAACATGGTCACTACTAAAATGTAAAAGTAAACTAAAACTAAAAAGTAAACTTTTTTGTGTTTTAATGAAAATATTATTATACAATAATTATATTATTATTTTTATTATTTGATTATTATTTTATGTATGTATAACTGTTCAAAGCTGTGTTTGCTAGTCATGTACTGGCTGGCGTTTTTCAGTCATGCTCAAAATTCGCTAAAATCTTCAGGTAAAGTTTCAATAGTGTTATGGTTGTTTTGATAGTGATAAAATGGAGTGTTCAATCATTTATTTGAATAAAATGAATGTAATTACAGTAGAGGCTCGCTCACAGCAAAGAGATTTTAGTCTGAAGTCCAAGTCAGTTAAATATTTAAAACGTGTTTTTGGCATTGATTTGTAAATGTATATTTTTTTGAGTCCAACACTGAAATTAACTGACAGCACCCAACTTAGCCATGTCCACCATTTCACTGCAATCCAAGCTCTGGTAAAAATGACTATTTTATTTTAGGTATTGGTGATGATTCATTAATTTGGTGTAGATGACAAAACAGCCAGCAGCGCTGTAAGTGCAGCCCATAGTGAGGAAGCTGTGCTGTATTGTCTGTGACTCACATTTCCAGGGACAACATGAAGCCTTGCTGTTTCCCTGAGCTAAACCCCCTCCCTTTTGTTGCTTTTTCCCCCTCCGGCCTGTCAGGCTGAGTAAGTGTGTTCATAAAAAGAGGCTTGGGGGAGAGAAATCATCCATGAACAACGCTGGAAAACTGCAGGCTACAGGCGTTACCGAACCCGGCTGTGCTTATTAGGGGATGCACGCCTGCTGTGTCTGTGTCTGTCCTGTGATGCTGCATGATACGAATGTAAATCTGAAAAAGCAAAACAGCCCAAAACAAATGTTAACGTGAAAACACGAGCAGAAGTAATACAAACTTGTAATGGTGTCCTGTGTGAGAATGCTCTTGAGGCTTCACACCGACATTCTCACTAATTCTGCTAACGAACTGCCCCTGTAGAACCAGTTCTCTAGTCTGGTCTAGTAGCAGGTCTACCTAACAGTGAGCAGCACAAGACAAACGAGTAGAGATGGCGCCGATTCGATATCAGATGATGTTGGGTGTGTATTTCTTCCTGTGGGGTAGAAAGAGTGTTTGAGCTGTTTCAGCATGATAACCTGTTTTTAGATGCAAATGCAAAGAGTTTTAGTCTGTAGGCGGAGCCTTATTTTAGCCACACCCCTGCATTTTAGAGCAGGAAGAGTGACTGTATCCCTGTCCTTCATGGCCACATGGTGAACAGTTAGTCCCATTATTTTGAGATAAATGCATCACAAAGTCTGAAAATCAGAGTGTGACTTTAAGAATTGTCACTGCTAGAACTGAGTAAACATTGTGATTTTTTAATGAAAATATTATTTAATAATTATAATATACACACACCTAAAATTCGAATCAATTCATTTTATGTGTGTATAATTGTTCAAAGCTGTGTTTGCTGGTCGTGTACTGGCTGGTGTTTTTGAGTTATGCTTAAAATTAGCTAAAATTGTCATGTAAAGTTTTAATAACATCATGATTGTTTGGTAGTGATAAAATGGCGTGTTTGTTGTTGGCTGTGTATTTCTTGCTGGGGGGTAGTAGAAGAGTGCTTGAGGTGTGTCAGCATGATAGCCTACTTTTAGCTGTAGTGTTAAAATGTAAAAAATAGTTAATTTTAAAGTGTCATTTTTAAAGAAAATAACATTCAATTGCTTATCAAATTCATTCATTTGCATTACATACATATATATCATCTAACTTAAATAAATTATATTGTATTTAATAAGATGCAGTACAGTACTATATAAGCATTCTTTTTTTCTGGTATATTGTGCATTTATTACAGTTTCTTTTCAGCAAATATGCAAAAACTTTTTTTCACATGGACTCTGGAGTGGTCAGTCTGTTGTTCTGAACACCAGCAGCTTCTTTGTTTGATTTGCAAATTTTGTTAATTTGTGTCCGTTTCATTTTCTCAGTGAGGTTCTTCTTGACAGCTACACATCCTTTCAGACCCACAGCGCTGAGTCGTCTTCTCACAGTGGAAGGATGGACAGAAACACCTGTGGATGTTTTCAGATCTGAAGCAGCTTGATTTTCTCCTCTCTCTCAGAGATGAAAGCTTTAGGTGCTGTTTATCTGGGGGCAGTTTTGGTGTCTACCAGGTCTTGCATGGTTGTTATGACTCCCATTTTCTCTAGATGTTTTAATCATTAATCACTTCTAGGTTTAGAAAATCCTGCTTTTTCCTTTTCACTTTCCTCCTATGATTCTTTTTCAAGTGGCTTATCTAATCTCCTCAGAAATATCTCCTCAAAATAATATTCTTCAAAATAACTTCTATTTAATGGCTGTTAAGAATGAAAAATAAATAAATGAAGCTAATCTCTGAACTTTGACTTCTGTATGTCTTCCAAAACTAACCTAATCTTAACCACAATTATTCAAAAAAGAAACGTGTTTTAGTTTTCATTAATGAAACCAGTAACTTTTGAAAAAAGAACTTCAGAAGCATTGTTTCCATTTTGTTGGTCCTGATATTGTGGATTAGCCCTGTTTTTCTCTGGTTTTCCTGCAAAGTCAGAACATTTTAGTTCTGAAAATGCATGAAAACAAACACAAACATGCTCCCTACTGTCTCGGTTACATCTGCTTTATCCCTCATATGCAGGCAGTGGTGCTGAGAGGCCCAGGCTGTCTGTGGTGCTGCACCAGTGCGGGACATGTGGGGAAGCATGCAGGCTCTGAATGATGGCTCAGTCCTGCTCTGCCTGACTGCCTGCTTATCTGAGCCATTAACAGCCTTCATTACAGCAGCCACAGAGAGAGAGAGGGAGAGAGGGGGAGAGAGAGAGAGAGAGAGAGAGAGAGAGAGAGAGAGAGAGAGAGAGCACCAGTGTGCTACTGAGAGTAACAAAGTTGCATGAATGTAAATGGAGGAGTGGTAATAAAGGAATCACACCATGTACTGGGACACATAAGGTGAAATTGCCTTCGATCACAACCAAGTGTTGCATAATTACGTTACTCTGATGCTGCATTTTCAACGCTGAATTTCTCTACAGAGGTTAGTGCCTCTTCTCTCTCATCTAGCGATTAGGCAGAAACTGGAGAAGAAAACCCAAAAGGCAGGGCTTAGTCTCTCTCAGGCTGGCGGTCACTGAACTGACCCGTTTTCCCTTCTGTGCTCCCACAGAGATGGGAATGCTCTCTAATACCCCTCTTAGTGCTTCCCTTTACCTACTTAATGGGTTCCGTGGGGTCGGCTCTCTTGGCTCTCTTCTCTGCAGATAGTTGCTCCCACTTGAAATGAAGACTCCAGTCAAAGCCTGAAGCAGAAGGTGTGAGAGAGAGAGAGAGAGAGAGAGAGAGAGAGAGAGAGAGAGAGAGATAAAGAGAGAGAAATTTATAAGTTTTTCTGTCTCACAACAGTGGATCACTTATCACTGGGCTACATCACTGCAGCAACCTGCTCCAATCCCAGGTAAGTTCAGGATTTTTGAGGTCAACGTCAAATTCAAAGTCAATTTTTATTTATATAGCTTTTTTACAACAGGTGTCGTCACAAAGCAGCTTTACAGAAAAACCCGGGTCTGAGCCCCAATGAGCGTCGCCAATGGCGACAGTGGCAAGGAAAAACTCCCTAAGAGCAAGAGGAAGAAACCGTGAGAGGAACCAAGACTCAGAAGGGGAACCCATCCTCCTCTGGACCACACCGGATAGCAAACAGCGTTAGAATAAAATATTAGAATACAAAACAGGAAAAACAGGTAAAGCAATGGTTAATTAGATAGTTTAAAGCTGTGCACAGGTCACAAATGGAGTTACGAAATAACTGAAGTTTGGACAGACAACCATTCCTGAAACCCCTCCAATCTAACGCCCTAAAAATTCCCATCTCCACCTCCCGTTTCCCATGACAAAGTTTTCGCAATCACCACCACACCATCTCCTCCCTGTTCCTCAGTGTCAGTCCTACCACAAAAAGAGGGATTCTTTATCACATATCCGGCCCTTTAGCTACAGGCAGAAGCTGCCCAGAACTCCAGCCAAGTTCTCAGAGTTCTCCCTCTTCCCTCAAACAGTCTTCCCTCATACCACCACCATACACTGATCAGGCATAACATTCTGACCACCTCCTTGTTTCTACACTCATTGTCCATTTTATCAGCTCCACTTACTATATAGGTGCACTTTGTAGTTCTACAGTTACAGACTGTAGTCCATCTGTTTCTCTGATACTTTGTTAGCCCCCTTTTACCCTGTTCTTCAGTGGTCAGGACCCCCATGGACCCTCACAGAGCAGGTACTATTTGGGTGGTGGATCATTCTCAGCACTGCAGTAACGCTGACATACTGGTGGTATGTTAGTGTGTGTTGCGCTGGTCTGAGTGGATCAGACACGGCAGTGCTGCTGGAGTTTTTAAACACCTCAGTGTCACTGCTGGACTGAGAATAGTCCACCAACCAAAAATATCCAGACAACAGCGTCCTGTGACCACTGATGAAGGACTAGAGGATGACCAACACAGACTGTGCAGCAGCAGATGAGCTATCGTCTCTGACATTACTTCTACAAGGTGGACTGACAAGGTAGGAGTGTCTAATAGAGTGGACAGTGAGTGGACAGTGTGGCATCTGATTTTTCAGCAGAGGTTACAAATCATGCTACACAGGCTGAAGTGGCACAAATCTGTTTTTTTGCCCTAATGTGACTCAGATCTGATGTTTTCAGAGCTGTGTGGACACAAATCTGATCTTTCCAAATTTGACCTGATCCACTTTAATATGTGGTCCTAGATCGGATACGTATCCGATTCGTGGCCATGCGACCTTAATGTGACACTCAGATCGGAATTCATGTGCTGTATTTCCATCACGCGTGCGCCATTATTCAGCGTTACCATGGCAGCAGCGTTGAACAGAAGTTAAAGCCCGTAAACCGTGGAAAAGCTCAGCTCATCAAGTGTTACAGTGGCATGTGATAAAAGTATATTATAGTTAAAATGTTTAACTTATAGCTTTGTGTTGAAGACAACAAAGACATCTTGTTTGAGCCAAGATGTTACCATGGCACCCAGGACCACTGTTTTAAGCGAAATGTTACCAAATTTTTTTCTGCTCTTTTTTTAAAGATGTTTTTAAATATGCTTTTTTTTTGATAATGTAACGGTTTAAGAATTATTTAGGAATCAGAACTGGATCATTGTCACAGATGAAAAACACTAAAAATAATAGCTAAGAGAAGCCCTCAAAATCAGAAAATCCATCCCTGCAACTACATTTTCTTGCTTTTCTAAGTGAAAGCGAAGTTCACACATTCTCTATAGAGAACATGCTTCTACACAAACATTCAAAGACTGTTTATTTGCTGACTTTAACATGCTGGGAATAAATAAAACATAAAACGTGACCTGTGCAAAAGTTACGGCATGTTTTATAGTTTATTATGTTTATTTATTTTTTTTTAAATATGTTAAATGTATCAAATATACAGAAATAGTGTGCTAAAATTGCTGACAAATGCCATATTTAAGCTTTTTTTTAATTATTTAGAAAATCATCAAAACATTTAAGCAGGGCCCAAATTGTGCATACGACTGTCCTTACATTACTCAAAGTTGGCAAACAGTGGTTTTAATAATATAAAACCAATTTTGTTTGCAGAAGAATCACATTAAAATAAAACTGATATCCCAAATTCATCATATTTCAAAAATATCAGATCAAATCTCAAGGCAGGTAGCTTGACAGAAAACACTGTATATAAATAATTGTGTTATTCATCATTTAATTACTGCTCTGTTTACAGATTTCTTGACATATTGATGTCTTACACATTTAATGTCTTAATATCATTTAGTTTCTGTTGAACTTAAACTTCCATTTTTGACCATTTAATTCATTTAAATTAAAACCATTTATTTCAGCTGATATGTTTGGACAAATTGGAAATTTTAGCTGCCTAAAATCCTTTTAAACAAAATTTATTTTTATACCAGCCAGGCTTTTTAACAGACGTTAGCAAATGTTGTGAAGACAGTATGTGAACCAAGAGCAGCTTCTCTTTCTTACCGCCCCGCAGGTCTGAGGAAGCAGCGACGTAGGCGAACGAGTCCATGTTGATGATGTCAATCACTGGGCTGGCGACGCAGCTTGGGTCCTGAAATGAACAAATCTTGTCGTAAATCAGCTTGTTAATTAAGCTGTTCGAGCTTAATTAAGAAACAGCTGCATTTCTGAGGCATTTCAAGGCATCATTCTAAATCAGGCGAGAGGTGAAGTGAAGGCAGGGTAACGGTTAAGAAGATAATATAAGCAGCTTTGGGTCTTTTCGGCTTGACTTCACATCTAAAGAGGGGGAAAAAATCAATGAGTGCTGAGATTATCTGAGTTAAGAGCGGGTGAACGTGTCATGTACACACACACAATGCTCACACACAAACACACACACAAATACGACAAACACACGCTCCGAATCTTCTCCAGACACCGAGTGCTTTGACCGCATCATTCAATCCCGTCATGCTCCATGAACATCACCCCAGTGAGACAAAAGTCCTCTTGTGATGTCAGGATGAAGGAGACAAAACACATGGTTCCTGCGCTTAGACATCAATACAGACGGTGCAGAATTCAGACACACAGCAGGAATGTTCGATTTAGTGTTTGCATATTAACTCCTGTGTGGTGTTGTGTGTTTGTTAATCAGTGGTCTGGTGGACATTATTGTTTATTTAAGTTAATACAGTCATAAAAATGTACGTAAAAATACCAGATGTTTAAAATATCACAAGTGTCCAGCGTAGGGTTCTCCTTTAGCAGCTGTAGCCAGTCAGCAGCCTGTCCATGTTGTCCACCCTCACACACACACACACACACACACACACACACTAACAGCAGGCCATGTAGGAGGAGAACAGAGTGAAGGACACAGCACCTCCACACTTTTACTCCCCGCGGGTTCAGCCCAACACCACATGTGTAATATAAATGTGTGGGGGGTGAACAGAGTGAAGACACTGAAAATGGGTTATTTTATATGTTCTTCACAGGAAAAGGGCAAAGACCAAGAATCTGAGGCTGAAATAATAATAAATCACATCATTTTCTCTTTTGGTAAACATTAAAAATGGGTCCCACAGACCTGAACACCACACAAGGGTTAGAACACGTACACCCAAAAGTCCATCATTGTGTCACTGGATTCATTTATTAGCAAAAAAGATGGAAAAGATGAAAGTCTAAGTACCTCTTTGATCCTCTGAAGCAGCGGAGGCAGCCAGTCCTTGTTGACCTCACAGTGGCTATCCAGAAAGGTCAGGACTCCCGCTCCAGCAGCATCGGCCCCACGGACCCTGGACCTGATCAACCCTGAGCCACAGAAGAGAAGGACCAAGGACCAGAAGAGAAGCAACAATTCATTATCCGTGGTATAGTTACGGGAACAAGTTTAGCCTAAATAACAATCACAACAATCTCTGAGTTTTGTTTTATTTACATAACGAAAATCTTCTCAGAATTTAACATCAGAAAGGTTTGAGGACTGATGAGCGCTGAGACAGTTATATGCAAATGTTTAATATAATTTGTCCTTTTGTTTCTACAATTTTCTCCCCCGGTTCATCATGGCCGATTCCACCTGCTAGTTAGGGCTCACCTAATTAAACATGCAGCCTCTAGACATGCAAAGTCAGCCACCCCATCTTTCTGAACAGGGGTATCATTAAAACAGAGGGGTTGTGTTGTCTGTTGTTCTCTATCTGAGGTGATATGTCTGCACGTCCGCCATGTTGGAGAGGTCAAAATCCGCTTGTGAACAAATTCACTAGTATTGAGAGACGATGAGTCTCAAGATTAAAATCAGCCACAACTTCCTCATTACTCAACTGATTTTCACTAAATTAGTTTTGTTATAATCCTCAGACACGGATTAATCCAGGCTGCACGGATCTGCTCTCGGTAGTTTTTATTACTTTAATTACTGATCGGGCTAATTAGCCGTACAGACCAGGAGGACAGTATTCAGTCTGCACCTGATGCTAAAAACCGAGTTTAGTGCAAGAAACACAATCAGACACATCAGCAAATCCATCAATGTGTGAATCACTTCTAATTTTAATACACATAAAAATAAAATAAACCCCTAAAACACAGTAAGAAGGACGAAGCTGAAGTTGGCTTCCTATTTGCCAGCTTCGCCTGTTCCTGAAAATTCGAAGAAGAAGCTGGCGAATAAGAAGCTGACTTCAGGTTTGTGTGAGATGTTAACGTTAATCTATTATGAATACACAGATTAAGGAATGCTGTAACTTATTGCTACAAAGCTTTAACCATCACTGTAAACAAATAACTACTACATAAAGTTAAGATCCTGAATAGACTATTAAATGAAATAAGCTGAATATAAAACCAGAGGAAAAACAATCACATCAACAGGTTCTCTGTGCCTCATTAACCACACGGCCATATCTACACAAACATCACACAGACATGAGTGTGGATCACTGCGTTCCCTCCGTTATATAATCCTGTCCCACTTTCTGAGTGTGATATTCCTGAAATAGTGTAATTTTGGACAGTATCTTTCTTAAACTGCCGCTCTGTAATGGTACTGAATGCAGTCCAGCAGCAATGTTGACCGCCCCAAAATGGCAGCGGCGTTGACGTGCCTGGCTGGACCCAACATGGCATCTAGGTATGTATATCTCCATACCTAGGTATGTAGAGTCCACCTCTGTCAAAAGGCCGGACCTGTTATGTCAGAAGCCTGCCCTGATTGGTCCAAGAGCTGTTTACTGTTTGAAATCTGAAACTCAACTGACCCTGGAGCAGGTCAGGTGTGCTGCATAAGTTGCCATGGTGATATAACCTGGTAAAAAGTGATGTACCATTACACAGAAAACCCAGGGTTAGGATAAACTAAGCCTAAGGTTAGAAGGCTAAGTGAGACAGCCTTCTTCATGAGACAGGCCCCCGTTTAGTCTTTGAGTTATTGAGACCCACAAAGAAAATGTGCTCATTTAAAATACACACTTGAAAGGCTTGAGGTTCCCAAACAGGAGAAGAGAGAGTGGAAGAACCAGTTAAATAGATCCATCATTGTTTTCAGGAGCTGGTGAATTGGCAATGACAAACACAGAAGTGTTAGATGATTTGAAAAAGACTGTCCACATAATTTGGATGGCACCCAGGCCAATCTGAGACAGAGATATTTACAAAATTGTATTTTGGGACTAATTAGACTAGGCCACGTTTTTGGTGGTATAAATGCTTTAGATCAAGAGATGCCGTTGTGCAGGCGAAGCAGTTAAATCAGCAGCACATGACAGAGGACACGACGGCATTGTTAAAGTGCACGGCTCCTGCTGAGTTTCACACTGCAAGGCAACTTCAGCCAATTAAAAATCCCATTTCATCCTCAATAAGGCTTTATTTTCTGGATGAGCGAGTGCGCTTTCCTCTGCATAGCTGTGGACAGCCTAAACGCGTATAGAGGAGCGCATGTGTATGTGTGTGTGCTCACATCCGTGTGGTGTGCTTCCTCTATGAGCCGGCCAGATGGGGAGAGAAAGAGGCGGCAGCAGAGATTACATTCACCCTCAGCTAATAGAGTTAACATAGCAGAACAGCACACACTGTTTGTTGCTCCAGGACAACAATGGGGTTTAAATGCATTAAACCTTTTAACAATTTTCCTCTGTATAGAGTTGGTTGCACACCGGCTTTGCACATTAATCAATGCTGTATAAGCGACAATGTGTGACTGTGTGTAATGGAACCTCGAAGCACAGGGATAAACAGGGGTGGAGAGCAGCCAACTGATGCCATTTGTTATTAGTAAAAACATTGCAGCATCAGTTTACTGATTTAATCTGACGGCTTCTCATTTTCACACTTGATTTTGTACGGCACTGACATCGCCTTTAGAGATTTTGCTACGGATACAGCGAGCGCTTTCTGAGATTACTGCACAGAGTCAAAGGTGGGTAGAAGGGGAGTTTCGCGACGCTGTGATATCGCAATGCAAAACTGTGACAATGAATCATAGACAATGGACAGTTTATTAATTATGCCATCTAACGCAACTATTTAAACAACAGCTTGCAAACGATCAACACCAATAAACTCACTCCAGCACTCGTCCTGCCTCCTACCTCTAGCACCGTTGTTAAGATAATTAAACATGTGTAACAATTGGACTGGCGAGGCAGACCAGGAGGCGGGGTACAGGTGCAAGTGTCTTATTTGAGTCTGCAGTACTCCAAATGACAGGCAGGTAGATAAATAGTATGTGGATCCATAGAAAACACATGAAAACAATGTAACGGTGGAAACTACTGAGAACATGAACTGACTAGGAAAGCTTTCAAACATAAAAGCAAAACTTACACAAAGAAACCAAACCTTAACCAGGACCATACAACATCAAATATCAAACAATCCTGGCTGGGGAGCAAAGGAAACACTGGGGTATAAACACTAATACACAGAAAACAAGGAACACCTGAGACAAATGAGAGGGCGGGGCTAGGAAACAAAGAACAGGTGAGGTCAGGGCAGGACAGGGGAGGAACTAACATGACAACAAAAGCACATGGCACATGTAAACAAACACACAAGGTGCTGGGAAACAAGAAAACAAAGAAAGAAAGAAAAAGACCGGAACAGAGGGAGACAGGATGTTATAACATGATTACAGTCATCATTTTTTATTCAAATTTTGTTCATGTAAAAAGCAAATCGAATCATGAGCCACATATTGTGAAATAAACTGTGTCCTGAGTGTATCACTAAACCCCCCAGTGGGTAATAGCCAGTTACATCTACTTACATGCAATATATCTTGGATTTGTACTTCTCTGAGTATCTCCTAACCATTAAAGGGCCTACATTACGGAAAGCCAAATTTTTTAAATTTTGCTTTTTTAAATAAAAAATGTGACGTGTCAACATTACTAAAGTTGAAAAAAAAAAATCCACCTCAGTCCTTACAGTCCATAAACAAAAAGTAAGCTGCAAAAACATGAAAAAATGCTGGATACTGGCCTTTTAAAGAGTTACTATTAAAAAATATGATCCACTCCCCCTTCCATATAAATGTCCTGTTTTGAATTCATTATTCTTGTGATGTCATGAATACCAGTACATTTATGGGTATCCATATATTCAGGCTAGTTTAGCCCTGCCCATTCATGCTGGAGTTATAAAGAGTGTTTCAAATATCTGTATGTTTTTAAAAAACACAAATCATACTTCTGCTTTTACAACATTTCCAAAAAAGTTGGGACGCTGTGCAAAATGTAAACAAAAACATTTAATGTAAAGAAATCATTTAAACCCTATATTTCATTGAACATAGTACAAAGACAACAAATCAAATGTTGATACTGAGAAACTGTATTGTTTTTTGAAAAATATATGCTTATTTTGAAGTTGATGCCAACAACACGTTCCAAAAAAGTTGGGATGGGGGCCTGTTTACCACTGTGTTTCATCACCTCTTCTTTTAACAGCATTCTGTTAGTGTTTGGGAACTGAGGAGACACTGCTGTAGTTTTGAAAGTGAAATGTTTTCCTGTTCTTGTTTGATACAGGATTTCAGCTGCTCCACAGTTTGGGGTCTGCTTTGTTGTATTTTTTCATTTTATAATGTGCCAAATGTTTTCAGTGGGTGACAGGTCCATTTTAAATGAGCTCCAGCCCAGAGAAGGTGGCAGCATTTCTGGATCCTGTTTATATTTGGTTTTCCTCTTTGTGTTTTAGAGTTTTAACTTGCATTTGTGGATTCAGCACCGACTGTATTCACAGACAGTGGTTTTCAGAAGTGTTTCTGAGCCCATGCAGTGATTTCCACTATAGAATCATGTCTGTTTTTAATGCAGTGCTGCCTGAGGGCCCAAAGATCACGGCCAGCAAATACTGGTTTTTGGCCTTGTCACTTACATACAGAGATTTCTCCAGATTCTCTGAGTCTTTTAATGATATTATGTACCGTAGATGATGAAAAGCAAAAGTTCTTTGCTGTTTTATGTTGAGAAACATTATTCTTGAATTGTTGCACTATTTGATTTGAGTGGTGAACCCCTCCTCATCTTTACTTCTGAAAGACTCCGCCTCTCTGAGATGCTCTTTTATACCCAATCATGTTACTGACCTGTTGTCAATCAACCACCAGGTGTTTTTTTAAGCATTACACAACTTTACCAGCCTTTTGTTGCCCCCATCTCAACTTTTTTGGAACATGCTGTTGGCATCAAATTCAAAATGGGCAAATATTTTTCAAAAAACAATAAAATTGTTTAAAAAGTTTCAACATTTGATTTGTTGTCTTTGTACTATTTTCAATGAAATATAGGGGTTAAATGATTAGCACATCATTGCATTTTGTTTTAATTTACATTATTCACAGCATCCTAACTTTTTTGGAAGTGGGGTTGTACTTTTAGTTACAATTAACTTATATTAATGTTGTCATACTGATAATAAGGTAATTAAAAATGGACATGAAGGTCGGATTTATTCACAGAAAAAACAGTCTACCGCTGAAACTCATGAAAGCCTGCTTAGAACCTTTAGAACCATTAGGAATAAAACCTGAGGGTTTTGCTTCCTAACAGGAATTGGCTTGATGGTTGCCATTAGAGGCCAAGAGGAAACAAACAAATGTATCTGGAATTTGTCCCTTAACACCTGATTAAACAAACAGAATCCTTTCTGTGATCAACACTGTGATATCAACCCACCAGGAAAACATAGAATACCATTAGCGACTATTGGACACCACCAGGAACCAGCAGACACTTTTAACAGGTTCTATAACTAACTAACAGGGAGGTACATTAAACAGAATTCACTAGCTGTTATTTATGGAAAATGGATTAAGTGACGATATCACTAAGCAGAAGCAGCCAAAAGTTACCGTGCTGTTTGGCTGGTCCTGCCACTGGAGCAGAGAGTGCATGTGCCTGTGACGTCACTGGGGCTGAGAGTGCATCTGTCTGAGAGTGCATGTCTGCAGCCAGACTCTGTTGATTATTTTTAGCAGTTGAGAAGTTGGTGAGGGCATGTTAAAAAATATTAAACAGGATATTGGACTGCTTTGCTCTTGCTTCCCTGTCACTCTCAAGCATTATGATTTTATTTAAGACCAAAAAGATCAAAAAAGTGAAGAATAGCATCAAACAAACGGGTACTATTTATTCCTATTTAGGTTGTTTTTGCTACGTTTCTTTTACTTTTACATTACCTCATTATTCCATTCATCTCTTTCACTTGCACATAGGTTTAGTACCTGCACAAGCGTGCTAAATGATTCTAAAAACTCTTAATTGATATATCTGTCATTCAGCTTTATGTTTCCTATAAAAAGATGTACAATTTTGCCTTCCTTGCAACATTTCAGCATCGAAAACATTAAGCATTTCGGCACTGACTTTCTTTTCAGCAGGTCTACTTCTCGCTCTCCTACTACGTGCAGCTCCTCTGCAGAAGTCTTTCTCAGACTGCAGAAGAAATGCAGCGTGGTGCGGCCCTTAAGCCTTAACACGCATCACTTACCGGACAGGTTATCATCCATTAAGACAGCTAACCTGCTAAACAGCGAACAGCTCAGTGCGGGGAACCACACTAATGGGATTTCATTAAACAGTAAGTGGGCATTTTAGCTGTAGCCATCTCCGAGGCGCTGACCGCCACTCACAGCCGCAGCCGGCAGTAAGCAGTGAGAGCGCCGCCAGGCATATTGAAGTGGCAAAATCAATATTTTCCTGGACCGTTTAAAAGCCTCCCGTGTTCTTCAGTTAGGCGTGAGCCAAAACGCTTTGCTTACAAATGGATTTTTAAATCTTTGTATCAAACGTCTCGATTGCTGTGTTACACAAGCTGTTTACAGCGTAATCCACGTCTTGTCACTTTGTAGAGGTAATTTATCTACCCAGCCAAATTTTTTTTTGGGGGGGGGGCAGAGGGGTCAGAGAGAGCGCTGAAAGCCAAGAACGTGTGGACGAAGCCACAATCCTGACTGGATCCGGAATACAGAATGCTTTTGATAGGCCTTAATCTACACTATCCAATCTTTTCAGATCCTGATAAGAGCATGTTTACAGCGCTTTGCAGTAATCTCCACAGCAGAGGCTGGTGATGTGATGAAAATGTGTTTCACACCAGGAATAGAGAAGATACGACTACAAATGTTCCTAAATAGTTCTTGGTTTAGTCTTTTCGTTATATATAGAAACTAAGCTGCAAATACTGCCTGGTTTAAATTAGCTGTTTTTGTTATGGCATGAAAACCAATGCATTTACATACACCCCCCCATTCAGCCTAGAACCCTTTATCCCCGCCCATTTACCCTGAAGTTATAAGAAGTGTTTCAGCCCAGATTGCTGATTTTGAAGGGTGCGCAATGCAGGGCAGCCAATCAGAACAGAGGTCATTTAAATTCATCAGACTCAAAGATACTGTTACAAAAACAGCATGTATAAAAGGGAATTCCTGCATAATTAAATGGTTAAAAAGTAAACAGAGTCATTCAGAGTGGTTTGATGTGATGCTTCTTTCTAGGGAAACTCGTTTTCAGTGGTGAATAGGAAACAGTCGTGACAGAAACTGGACGTCTGGAGTCTTTAATGCTCCTAAAAACTACATCAAAGAAAGTTGTGAAATACACTGTGTGATGCCTGAGACACTGTTTTATGATAGCTTTAACCCTGCATTCACAAGCAGTGATGCGGCGCGGAAAGGCAACCGGAGCTCATTCGGAGGCGATTTCCGGCGAGAGAAGGCAACGTGAACGCTGGTGACACAAAGTGGGTGGAGTCAGTGATGCAACAAAGTTGAGCGGGTTTAACTTTATGCCAATAAGGAGCGAAGCGGTATGGCGGTTACCAATAGTAATTGAGCATTGAGCAGCTTAGTACACGCTTCATTTCCACCACTGTAAAATGGTGCACTCGTTTTTTTGTTCCTAAGTAATTGTTCCTACTAGAGGTTGAATAATTGCGGCGATGCTTTCGCCACAAATAGACAGTAATCGCAAAGACTAAACACTGTTTTCCTGACACGCTGACCGCACAGACACGGGGATTTGCAGTGGGAATGCATCTTTTTTGTAATGGGAATACATCATTTTTGCTTGGCGTCAGTTAAACCATGGCAACCAACAGTCCACTGAAAACACCCACAGGTGATAACGAAAAGAGGCGAAAGGTCGCTGTCGGTGTGAGCGCAGGGTAATATCAGCTTTTGGCCTAAAATGTATTTTTAGACTTCATTCATGACAGAGAAATCCCAAAAGAAAACTTATTTTGTTAGATTACGTTACTGTACTATTGTCAAATCCAAGAAATCCAATTCAGTATGGTTTTCTAGAATGGAGCATTTCTAATCAAAACACTGATTGTTTATATGTTAATGATTGAATTATTCAGAAATTTGGAAGAATCAACGCAATTCCCCTAGAATTCTAAGAGATAAAGAGGGGTTAGAAACTGGACATGTAAAATGAATTACGGCTGTTTTTTGGAACATCAACCCACACAAGCTTCAGAAGTGGTCTGCAGAGGAAATATGGGCTATTTAAAAGGTTCTTCACCCTTGCAAATCTCATTTATAAAAATAGCTCAGTAGAACTGTCCACTGAAAGGTTCTTTAGGGAACCAAAAGTGATTTTTCTATGGGATCGCGCCAAAAGACTCTTCTTTTCTGGTTTATTCTTAAGATTCTTAACGCTCTGAAACTGCTGAAGCAAGAGAAAAAGTTGAACCCCAATCTGTTCTGTGGACACTCTCTGATCTACTTTGCAGTCCATGCGACTGGCACCTGTGGAAAGGTTAGAACACAGCCACTCTCGGCTAGAGGTACAGTAAATGCACTGCAATCATTCGCCTAGTCTGTTTTTATCCTCCCAGAGTGAGGTCCTACCTGCTGCTAAATCACTCAGCAGCACAACAGCTAAAAGCAAACGGATGCTTTTAGGAGAGGCCGACTCGTCGCCGGCGCTGACAGAACATGCGTAATTCATACAAAGCGACAGACAGAAAAGAAAAAGAGAGACAAAACCATTAGCCTACCTTCTCTTCGGTTATTGCGAAGACACTTTACTTTGGGCAACTTGGTGAGAAGAAGGCAGTCGTTTGCTGAAAGAAGAAAAGTCATTAATTATGGAGAAGAGACTTTCAAATCATTCCAGCTTCCATCGTCCAAGCTAGCTTGTTTTCTTCCCTTACAAGGAAATGCCCCACCCCAAACACAGGATGCTATACAGATAAAGCTTGTCATGTCTGCCTAACAGTGGTGGACCAAGTACACAAACCATGTAGTTGAGTTAAAGTAGAGAGGTCAAATATTACTCCAGTAAAAGTAGAAGTTCCTCCCTTTAGACCTCCACTTGAGTAAAAGTACAAAAGTATTTGCCTTTAGATGTACTTAAGTATCAAAAGTAAAAGTACTAAAATATTAATTATGGCTCTGATGTCCTGTTATCATTTTTATAACAAGACTCGCTTCATTAACTCATTTTAGGTGAAAATACTCCAGTGTCTCTCTTGGTAAACCAGTCTTTTAATAGAGTCATTAATTAGTGACGCTGATGTCTATTAAAATTATCATAAGCACAAAACACTGAAGGCAAACAGTTTCCATCAGGTAGAACTGAGTGGCTCTGAAATCACTTTTTACAAACAAGCAAAGTTTCAGTTTAAGATTTATTTGTAACTTAGTTACAAGTTTAAGTTTAATAAAACCTTTAAACTCAGATTCACAAATGAGTTTCCTTTACTAAACTGCATCTGTAGGTCTCTGTTCATAAACATAAACTAGACAAAACTAATTTACTATAAAATGAAATGTGTTTGTATAAATTCAGACGTCAGTCACAACTGCACATGAGTACATATTTCTATATTGTGGTCTGTTTACACAAAGTTAGGTTAGTTCATCATTTATGTTGAATAGACTCTCCCAAAATTTTACGCTGCTGCACTGATGTTGAACCGTGTGCTGCACTGGGTCGGTATGACCAACAGGTCAAAACAAGGTGACCGCTGTGCCCTGATTGGTGTTTTTGCTTCGCGCTTCTTTCGTTTTGACGTTACGTTTTTATACACTCATAAACCAAAAGGAACGACAGATTTCTCATAATGTAGAGGAGTAAAAGGTGAGATATTTGACTTTGAAATGTAGTGGAGTGAAAGTAAAAAGTCGCCCAAAATGGAAAAACTTCAGTAAAGTACAGACACACAGAAAACTACTTGAGTACAGCAACAAATTACATTTACTTAGTTACTGTCCACCACTGCTACCTAAAAAGAATGAAAATACAGTGAAAGATTCACTGCTGTTACTCACGGTCTTCACTGAAGTCATCTACCAGGATGATCTCATGAATCAGATGCACGGGTGTCCGGTTGAGAACACTGATAAAAAATAGAAGAGGCATTTTTTCAGAGTCTTCAGTAAAATGTACAACATTCTCTTAACAAACTATTTCCAAACTGGATGAACCAAATGAAAAAGAAGTGGCCACTCCAGAAAGTTTTGTTTGCTTTTGAAGTTGATCACATGTCAAGTTGCTCCCTTTTGAAGTCATTTTTCCATCTCATTTATATTTCAACATCACTGACTAGCTGGAGAGAATCACATTAGCTCCAAAAATTGAAATGTTAATAATTTATCTGTTGAAGTATTAGGTTTCAATGCACTGAAACTGATTAGAGAACAAAAAATATCCATCCATTTCTTTCATTATAACAAAAAAAGTCATACCAGAAAAGTAACTACCAGAAAAGGAGAGCCTGCTACTGCTTTAGCACAAACTTCTACTGAGATTCACCTAAAACCTTTTTTTTAACTATTGATTTCAAATGGAAGATGTGAGGGCAGAAAGACTGGGGCGAGGATGAAGCTGTCATAGTAACTTCTGGCTGTGATACAAAGAGATGTTATGTTGGGGTGAAACCCTCTAAAACCATCTCAGCCTTGTCCCTGTGCTGGCTGACTGATGGACTTGCTCTCAGGCTCTTGGCTATATTCCACTGTTTGTTGTGTCATCTAGACACATTCATCAGGCTGGCCTCCACACTGGACATACACAACCAATACACACAAACATACACACATTCCCTTCACCTTCGCAAGCAATTTTTTAAATGGCTAAAATTAACTGAATCCTCTTAATGCTAAAAAAACAGAGCATTTCTCTGCATTATTTGGACGATACTATAAAAGTCACTTTTAGTGACATGATGGCGAAGCCACATCCTTGACTCGGTCAGTGTGTCCCAATTCAGGGGCTGCATCCTTCAAAGGATGCGGTCTATGAAGGCGTGTCCTTCGAAGGCTGTGCAGACCCGCGAAGGCTGAACCGAAAAGAGACGGTCTGCTCTATGGCGGATTTCCTGTTTGTGTCACAGCGCCGCTGTTCCCGCCCTTATGGCTGCGTCACGAAACGCCGCTCCTGTCTAGTTCTTTAAAAGTTCTTTAAAGACGGAGCCAGAAACTTTGATTTTAGTTTATTTTTTCATTTATTGGAGATGGAGATGCTTCACCACCGATGATGAGATTGAGGGTTTTCACCTCACCTCAGTTTAAACCCAGTACTTATATTTAAAATTGCACTCTTCAGCCGCCGTTCGCTCCTCTGCTGATGCCACCATGTTCTTGAATCCTCGCCGGCACGGAGTGAACCTCAGGATATGTTGGTGGGTGAAGGATCCACCTGTTGGATCCTTTGTTTCCATGGAAAAGGAGGACACATTTCTCGGCCGCATATGAAGGAGCATTCAAAATGGGATGGCCTAGTCGTGCTGCTGTGACGCAGCCGGCCTTCAAATGCAGCCTCCGAAGGACGCAGCCCCTGAATTGGGACACAGCCTGTGTCTATTGTAAAGTTCAAAAAGCTTGTCAGAGGTTCCAGGTTTGGCAAACAGCCACCACAGCCTTGCATAAGTCACCAAGAAACCATTAAACCCACTACACAACTTTCGTCATAACAGATTATAACAAGCCGAGTTTTGCCAGGCCGCCATGGGCTGCACAGCATTTGTCACACAAGCGTCAATGGAATTTCAACAACGGAGAGGCAGTCCATTCATGTCGGCTCCAAAAGATAAAACTTTTCCTTCTTAATAGAAACCCTCCTCTCGTCTCTGCAACTCTCACTGGTGCATTGCCTGCAAGCTAACTTTAGCTAGATTGAAATGAACTCTTCACACATGCTTGTTTTAAGAAAGTAACTCAGTCAGTCAGTAAGTCAGAGAAAGGCCCTGTCCCATTTTTTATTTTTACCCTTACCCCTTGTTTGAGTGTTGCCCCTTGGAACTGAGTTACAAGGGGTAGTGGTTTGAATATTTGCTATGAAATGGGACCCTCAAATTAAAAAGAGCATCACTTCATTAACAGCTACCAGCGCTGCTCTGTAGACGACCCTGCCAGTCTGCAGTGACAGCAGAGGAGGGTAAAGTTCAGCTCCTCACTGCTGGGCTTTAGTTACATTTAGGGCATCATATGCCTTCAAAGAGGGGGGCAATTATTTATTATCACCCACCCCTAATTCTTCAGTGATATGAAGCTGAAGTCAGATATTCACCAGCTTCTTGTTCAAATTTTCCTGTTCCACCTTAAATGGAGCAGCAGTTACATTCTGCTGGACTATTTAAGGCGGAACGAAAAATTAGTTAGCTAGATACCAAGACATTAACATACTATTAGCGATTTTTTAATCTTGTTATGAAGAAAAAGACCAAAATACATTGAAACGACATTAAACTGAGAAAATACTATTGTTATTGTATTTTTAACTGAGAAAATTCTCACATTTGTGTGTTTCTTTGGTCTCTTGTTCTCCGTCTTGCTGGTTTTCCTTTTCTCCTCATAACTCTGTTTGGAGTGAATCTCTGAAAAACCTCTGTTTGGAGGGTCATGTAGCCCCAACACTTCACCCTCCCCCTCTATCTCAACAAGAATAGGGACACCCTACCCCTAGACGTGAACGTGCAAAATAGAGAGCTAAGGGCTGAGTGTTAGGGGTGAGGGGAGAAATGGGACTGGGCTAAAATGTCTCTGAACTGAACTGAGCTCACACAAAAATGTGCGTTCTCTCGTTACCAGTAGACAAATAGATAAACACATGTGGTGCAGCTTGTTGCTGCGACTGTTTTCAATACCATTAGTGCTGCAACAGTAAAGCAGGAAAGAAACAAGTAGAACATCTTTAACTGAAGACTGTGGATGTAAAATTGTAAACCATGTGGTTCTTTTCGATGTACATGTTCAACTGCTGTCGCGTCTTAAACTCAGTTCATTAAAAAGCTACAGTGAACATGTGAACATCTGTGAATATCAGCATTTTTCTTCTTCTTTTGCTGTACTTACTTCTTTCATGCCCTCAGTTTTCAGCCTTTGTGAGAATCCATACTAATTGAGTTGCTGACCAATATACACCACTATAAACACCACCAGAGTCGGTCCAAAAAAATCTAACGTTTGATTTGCTCTGACTGGTCTGAAACTCGAAACAACCTGTGTTCCTTGCACAACACTCAACTGTGACTGGCTCAAAATCTGCAGACTAAAGCCAATCAGCAAGACCTGGCCAGACTGAGAACTGAGGCTCAGTGAAATTTTGCAAGCTAAAGTGTTTCCATTTATTTGAAGTTTTTTAGTACTCGAGTGCAGCTTCGGTCTCCACACCGGTCCTGAGAGCGTAAATGAACAGTTCCTGTCCTGACATCTTTTTGGCTCTGTCTTATCTCAGTCTTGGCCTAAAGTAGACTTGGAAATTGCTCTCAGGACCAGCTGAGAACATCGCCTCCATCTGAGGTAACTGCAAACTGATTTTTTTTTCCAATCACTATCGAACATCAATAAAACCTTCAAAGAGAATAAAACAGTCGTTTCTCTACATCAGAGGTCTTTAATTAAAATTCAATAAGGTCCAGTTAGAGAAAATATCCTCAAGCAAAGTTCTGGAACATCATAATGTCTAACTTGCATCATGATTCAGTGAAATAGACTGTTTACTGAAGTAGCCTAGTAGTTATATAAACGTCTTATTCAGTCAACAACTGAATGTCTAATCAAATACAATTCAGTAATATTTCAATAATATTTGTCAGTTTTTTCTTTTTAGATCACGTCATGTGAAATAACTTCCCTCTGACTTTCTTCTCCGACTGCTGTTTCTCGCCTCGTCCCTCCCCTGTGTGTGTGTCACTCACTTGAGTCTCAGTGCTCATCGTAATACACAGATCTGATTGGCTGAGTAGCGTCACGTGATATTTACAACGCATGCGATTGGTCTGAGTCTCCCGGGCTGCTAAACTGCACCGTAAAGGCTAGAAAAGCTACATTGATTAAAACAGGACCACCCCATCAAAATTAAATAATTCTCCATGGTTTATCGGTTATAGGTCCAGGTCCACATAGGACAACGTCTGGGTCTGGACTCGGACCGCGGTCCGTCAATTAGTGACCTCTGCTCTACATGTTTAATCTGTTTGCTGCCAGTTGTGGATTTAATTGATCTTTCCATGATGGCTTATCTGGGTATTATTTGTTTGTTGATGTTCACTGGTTGCAAAATTCAAACATCCCCTGACAGTAGATCAGAATGTTATTATTACTCTTTCATTTAATAATAATAATAATAATAATAATAATAATAATAATAATAATAATAATAATAATACTACTACTACTACTACTACTACTACTACTACTACTACATGTATGTTGGTGGTTCATATTCAGCTGATTTTAGGTTGTGATTCTGAATTAGTTTTGCAGAAGAAAGTACAGACAATAAGCTCAGCATCATTTGCTTCCAAAAGATATACTGCAAAGTTGGACTAAGACTACAATAAAAAGTAAATACTATTTTCAGGTTATATATATATATATATTATTTAATGTTACATTTTACAAAATGCATTATAAAATATGATATTACTTATTAATATATAGCATGTATAAATGTACAGCATAAATGTAAAATGAACTACAAATGAATTTCAGAAATGTTTCCCCTCCCCCGCCCTTGTAAGCTTGTCTCTGTTTCACCACTGCTGGTCTCGGTCTTGACTCGGACTCGTTTCTAATGCTATTAACTGCATCACATTTATTTCAACTGCTCACTTCTGGAGAAAATCTATTTTGCGTGTGACGCCTCACGTCAAGTTCAGCTTTGACACACAGATTTGTGTCCTCAACCAAAAGTGGTACTGATTTGGCTGTGTGTTGATGAGACCCTTCAAAAGGCAAACCACCGTATATCAGCAATAAAGATCTAAAATGGAGGAGATGCTAAATGTAGCAGTCTCTAAGCACAACCTCACTGACTATAAATAAACACATAAAAAGAGAAGACCTGATACGCAGTGAATTGGGAGACTGTCGTATTATCTTCAGTTTTGTGATT